TCCACAGGTGAATCCTGACTTCGCCATTGCTGCCAGTCTGTGCTTCGGGCTGCATCCTGCAAAGTATTATCTGGAACCCAAGTGTCATTAAAACCCTGGAATTCATCGCTAGACGTGGGGGCATTAACCACATCTAATACTTCCTGAACTTTAGTCCAATCCAGCTCTTCCTCTTCGCTGTCAAACTCCTCACAATCAGCTACATCTCTAAGGCGTTTAACAACAGATCCCACATCACTATCCGAGCTGCTTGCTACTCGCTTTACACCGCGGTAATCTTCCAGCTCCATTTCCTCGCGAGTAAAACCCTCAAAATCTTCCTCATCCGTAGTCTCTAAGAACAAGTCTCTAATACGTTTCAGCTGTTGCTGAGCTTCTTCATCTTCTAAACCACGTTTCCTTCTACTACTAGTAGTAGGTACATGAGACAGACGCTGACTCACAACAGTTCCACTGCTGAACAGCTCTCACAGTTAAAAAGTTCTTCCTAATGTTCAGGTGGAATCTCCTTTCCTGTAGTTTGAAGCCATTGTTCCGCATCCTAGAATCACCCACAACTTTATGCATCTTGTAAAATAAAAATGACTCTTTCAAATAACCTGGGTAGTTCCGGGTATCCAAGCTAGTTTCTTATCAAAATTAAATGAAAATCTTACAGTGGGTCACCTCCCCCTTTGTCTCCTGGCAGACAGTATTTATAGATCCAGTCTGCCACCGTGTCCTATGTTGCATACCTAAGGAAGTATGCAACATAGACAATTTAAAAATAAATATATGAATACATAAGCCCTACTTTTCATCTCATTATATGCTAAAATATGGTAATTGATTCTATTCATGACAAATTGAAAAGGTATTGGACCAAAACTGTCACACACGAGCCTCCATAAACTTTTCAAAATATATTTTCGGTGTGAAGGTAAAAGTCCAATTCTCTCAGCAACAGCTCTTTAAGAAAATGCAGTGGCACCTCTGCAGAAATAATGGGAAGCTAAACCAAAAACCAAAAAGCAAGCCATGATGATCTGAATGAATGGGCATTGCAAGATCATAGAGGCAAATCGAATTACTGTTTGAAAGAAATGTAGAAAGGCTGGTAATGAATACTAATAATACTAATAATACTATTATTATTATTATTACTAGCTGCACCCGCCATGTGTTGCTGTGGCCAACCTTCCCTCCCTCTTTCTCTCCTTTCTTTCTCTCCTTCTTTCCCTCTTTTTTTCTTTCCTTCTCTTCTTCCTTCCTTCTCTTCCTCTTTCCTTCCTTCCCCACTTTTCTTTACCTTCTTCTTTTTCCCCTGCCTTCCTTCTCTACCTATTCTTGGACTCCAACTCCCAGCAATCCTCCTGATTGAACTATCTACCTACCTACCTATCTCCATCTAATCTATCTATCTGGAGGATTGCTGGGAGTTGCAGTCCAGGAATAAGAAATTGGAAATACATAGGGATTGGGATGCTCTCAAAGAAATCCAAGGAGAAGAAAGCTTGCAGCTTGGAAGCAGTGCATTTGGATCATCCTCCTGTCCTAAAGGGCCTGATCTAGGGGATGCTGGGAGCTGTAGTCCGGAAGAAAGTGTGGATATGCTATTGTGTGTTTTGTTTGCCAGGGGAGTTGTTTTTGTGCACGCGCTGTAGCGTCTTTTTGCTTTTTTGGCTTTTTAAGTCTCTTCCGCTTTGTTTTCCAGTGTTTTAATGAGTGATGGTCACTCGTTGGCCTGATAGGTGTATTGTGTCCAACTGTGGTGTCAATTCGTCCAGTGGTTTTTGGGTTATGTTAATCCCACAAACGAACATTACATTTTTATTTATATAGATTAACAACAGCAACAACTTGAGGCAAAAATACAAAAAATAGATACTGCTAAAAGTTAACATCATGCAAAATTAAAAGTGCAATTAAACTATCAATATGATTAAAAACAGTCATTAAAATAAAATATCAAATAGGAACACAGTACATTATGTAACATACTTTCATCATTCTGTGCTCCAACTAGATATACTTATTGAGTCTGGTGAGACACTGCACACACATCATCTCTCACATAGAGACATCAGTGGAAATTCACAGTGCTATTGATTCTGTCTGGAAGTAGCTCATGTTTTGGAAGGAACATATGCACCTTGGCACAAGCCAAAAATCCATCAAGATCAATTTTCTTTTCCAGATGTATCTAGTTTTTTCTCACATTTAATACACAGGAATGGAGAGAATAAACTGCAATTTATGGAAATCTCCAGGAAAAAATGACTATACCTTTAAATAAATTGGCGACACTCGCATTATGGCTTAAGTAAAGCTAAAGGTTCTCCCTGACATTAAGTCTAATTGTGTCCAACTCTGGGTGGTGGTGCTCATCTCCATTTCTAAGCTCAAGAGTCGGAGTTGTCCGTAGATACCTCCAAGGTCATTTGGCCAGCATGACTGCATGAAGTGTCATTACCTTCCTGCAGAAGCGATACCTATTGATCTACTCACATTTGCATGTTTTCTAACTGCTAGGTTGGCAGAAGCAGGGGCTCACCCTGCTCCCCAGATTTGAACCGCCAACCTTTCGGTCAGCAAGTTCAGCAGATCAGCAGTCTAACCCACTGCACCACTGGGGGCTCTCCATTATGGCTTAACTAACAGTAAAAAAGAAAGGAGCAAGTTCAGAAGTAGTGACATTTCCAAAATTTATGGGGTGGAGAAACAGTAAGGGTCCCAGTGGCATAGATTTAGCTTTTATCCTTCAATAGTTCACATGTGAAAGTGTGTTCAAGATGGCAAAAGTTAGAAAAATAGGCAAAGTAAGAGAGGCTGCAACTGTTTGCTTTTGCTTATGCTTACTGGAAAAGGTGACACTTTTTAGCAGTTCATGATATTTACTAAACTCTTCCCCAACATGAGTTGATTTTCTTCCTATTAGTTTTCTTCACTTTCCATCTTTCACAATGTATGCCCCTTCTACACTGCCATAGAATCCTGATTATCAAAGCAGATAATCCACATTATCTGTTTTGAACTGGATTATATGAGTCTACACTGCCATATAATCCTGTTCAAAGCAGATAATCTGGTTTTTATATGGCAGTGTAGAAACAGAAGTACAGTATCATGGACCATCCTCGGTGAGATATCTTTGCACTTCAGCATCTTGTATAGTTCCTTCCAAGCTGTTCTTGCAAATCATAGTTTTCTTCCTATTTCTTGTCTCCGTTCTGTGATGCCCGAACCAAATTTGAAATATCTGGACTTTTTTAAATTTCTGTTTTCAAGACATAACTTTCAAGTCACACAACAACAAAGCCGTGTGGGATGTGTGGCGAGAGAAGATTAATCAGGACTGTCTTTGCCAAATCAGGATAGTTGGAGGGTATGTTGGCATTTGCGGATGTGGCCCATTTCTGATTTGAAAAGTGTACTATGGGCCCTTCCGCACAGTTTTTTATCCCAGAATATCAAGCCAGGAAATCCTACAATATCTGCTTTGAACTGGGTTATTTGTGTCTACACTGCCATATATCCCAGTTCAAAGCAGATAATGTGGGATTTTATTCAGCTGTGTGGAAGGGGCCTATGTGTGAACATGGAAGATCCACAAAGAAAGCTAGAACATCTTTGCATTCCATAGTATCTTTTGCCATGGATCCAAATGCAAAGCAAACTTTGGATCTCAGGGTGCATCTGCATTGTGGAATTGATGCAGTTTGACACCACTTTAAACTGTCATGGCTCAATGTTATGGAATCGTTGTAGTATTTAAGTTAAATGCCAACACCCTTAGGCTGAGAAGGCTAAGACCTTACAATTGCCACAGGTCCATGACATTAAGCCATGGCAAATTAAGTGGTGTCAAACTGCATTATTCTTTCTACAGTGTAAATGTACAATCAGTCCTGGGAGGAAAGTGGGATACAAAAAAGAAGAGGAGGAAAGAAGAGGAAGAGAAGAGGAAGAGAAAAGGTTGAGGAAGAGGAAGAGAAGAAGAGAAAGAAGAGGAAAAGAGGAAGAAGAGGAGAAAGAGAAGGAAGTAGAAGAAAAAGGGGAGGAGGGGAAGAAGAGGAAGCGAAGAAGAGAAAGAGGAAAAGAGGAGGAAGAGGAGGGGACGAATAAAAAGAGGAGGAGGAGAGGAGGAAAAAAGAAAACGAGAAGAAGAAGTGGAAGAGGAGGAGGAGAAGAGAGGAAAAAGAGAAAGAGTGGAAGAGGAGAAAGAGGAGGGGTGGAATAAAAAAGAAGGAGAGAAGAAGAGAAGTCAGAAAAAGAAGAGGAGTAGAAGAGGAAGAGGAGGGGAGGAATAAAAAGAGGAGAGGAAGAGTGGAAGAATAGGGGAGGAATAAAAATAGGAGGAGAAGAGGAAGAGAGGAAGAAGAGAGGAAGAGGAAGAGAGGAGGAAGAGGAAGAGAGGAGGAAAAGAAGGAAGATGAAGAAAAAGAAGAGGACGACAGAAGAGGAGAGGAAGAAGAGAAAGAGTAAAAGAGGATGGAGAGGAGGGAAGGAATAAAAAGAGAAGAGGAAGAAAAGAAGAGGAGGAGGAGAGGAAGAAAGGAAGAAGGGAAAGAGGAGGAGGAGAAGAGAGGAAGAAGAGTGGAAGAGGGGGAGGAATAAAAAGAGGAGGAGAGGAAGAGTGGAAGAATAGGGGAGGAATAAAAATAAGAGGTGGAGAAGAGGAAGAACAGAAGGAGTGGAAGAAGAAAAAGAAGAGGTGGAGAGAAAGAGGAAGAGAAGGGGAGAAAGAAAGAGAAGATGAGGAAGAGAGGAAGAGGAGGAGAGAAAGAGTGAAAGAGGAGGAAGAAAAAGAAGAGGAGAGAAAGAGTGGAAGAAGAGAAGAGGAAGAAAGAAGAGGAGAGGATGAAAAGGAAGAGAGGAAGAAAGGAAGAGAGGGAGGAGGAGATGAGAAAGTAGAGGGGGAGGCGGAAGAAAAAGAAGAGAGGAAGGAGGGCAGAAGAGAAGGTGGTGGTGGTGGTGGTGGAGGAGGAGGAGGAGGAGGAGGAGGAGGAGGAAACAGCTCCTTGCCAGACGTTCAGGTGTCAACTTGCGGGAAGCCAAGCAGGCAGGGCAGTTTCCCTTCGGATGAAAGGCCCTGGGGCGCCCACGAAGGAAGGAAGGAAGGGAAACAACCCCCAGCCCAGGAGGGGAGCAAAGGGACTCCGGCTCCCCAGAGTTAGGGAGGGAAGGAGGGAGGGGGGCGTTTCCCAGGCCGAGAGGTGTGGATCTTCCCTGCGAGAGAAGTTTGCCGGCCAAGCTGCGCCTGGGCTCACGTGACGGGTGACGGGAAGCCCGAAACCAGACCGGGCGCTCGGGCGAGTTGGGCTTCTCCTCCGGGAACCCACGCGGGCTCTTTGGCTTCTTCCCACCGGGGAGGGGACACTCTGCAAGCAGCGCCTTCCGAGTCGGATGCCCCCCTCTGCCTTGAGCCGGGGCCATCATGGACAAGATCAACAAGATCACAGTGCCGGCAGGGCAGAAGCTCAGGTAGGATTCCGTGGGGCTTCCTCCCTTCTCCCACCTTATTGTCTCTTCTGTTGTTTTGTTGACTTTCTTCGGCTCTTATGCACAGTCAGAGAATCATAGAATCATAGAGTTGGAAGAGACCTCATGGGCCATCCAGTCCAACCCCCTGCCAAGAAGCAGGAACATTGCATTCAAATCACCCATGACAGATGGCCATCCAGCCTCTGTTTAAAAGCTTCCAAAGAAGGAGCCTCCACCACACTCCGGGGCAGAGAGTTCCACTGCTGAACGGCTCTCACAGTCAGGAAGTTCTTCCTCATGTTCAGTATGGAATCTCCTCTCTTGTAGTTTGAAGCCATTGTTCCGCGTCCTAGTCTCCAAGGAAGCAGAAAACAAGCTTGCTCCCTCCTCCCTGTGGCTTCCTCTCACATATTTATACATGGCTATCATATCTCCTCTCTTCTTCAGGCTAAACATGCCCAGCTCCTTAAGCCGCTCCTCATAGGGCTTGTTCTCCAGACCCTTGATCATTTTAGTCGCCCTCCTCTGGACACATTCCAGCTTGTCAATATCTCTCTTGAATTGTGGTGCCCAGAATTGGACACAATATTCCAGGATGTGGTCTAACCAAAGCAGAATAGAGGGGTAGCATTACTTCCTTAGATCTAGACACTTCGCTCCTATTAATGCAGGCCAAAATCCCATTGGCTTTTTTTGCCGCCACATCACATTGTTGGCTCATGTTTAACTTGTTGTCCACGAGGACTCCAAGATCTTTTTCACACGTACTGCTCTCAAGCCAGGCATTGTCCCCCATTCTGTATCTTTGCATTTCGTTTTTCCTGCCAAAGTGGAGTATCTTGCATTTGTCACTGTTGAACTTCATTTTGTTAGTTTTGGCCCATCTCTCTAATCTGTCAAGATCGTTTTGAATCCTGCTCCTGTCCTCTGGACTATTGGCTATCCCTCCCAATTTGGTGTCGTCTGCAAACTTGATGATCCTGCCTTCTAGCCCTTCATCTAAGTCATTAATAAAGATGTTGAACAGGACCGGGCCCAGGACGGAACCCTGCGGCACTCCACTCGTCACTTCTTTCCAAGATGAAGAGGAAGCATTGGTGAGCACCCTCTGGGTTCATCCATTTAACCAATTGGACGTGGTTGCAAAGCCTTAGGCAGCCAAGATCAAACTTGCTGAAGCCCCACTATCCAACCTCAAGAGAAATCCTTCCCAAAGAGGATATCAGAATCTAAGAATCTGGCCCCTTCTACACTGCCCTATATACTAAGATCTCACCACGACAAGGTGACAGTCCATCAAGGGGCTGGTGTCCAGTATCTATGCCACTTCTCTGGCATAGACACTGAGAACTGGGAAGCCCTGGCCCTTCGGCGCTCCAGCTGGAGGTAGAATTTGAAGAGGGCGAAAGAGAGAAACGTGCCAAGAGGAAGGCGCGTCAAGCCAACCCCGACTGGGACCACCTTCCACCTGGAAACCAATGCCCTCACTGCGGGAGAAGATGCAGATCAAAAATAGGGCTCCACAGTCACCTGCAGACCCACCGCCCTGACACCCATCTTGGAAGACAATCCTACTCGGACAACGAGTAAGCAAGCCCAGGATCTGAGCCCAGGCTATCTGCTTTTCCCAGATTATTTGGCAGTGGAGACTCATATAATCCGGTCCAAAGCAGATAATGTAATTTATTTATTTATCGTGTCATCAGCAACCATACCATTGTATTACATTTCTAACAAAACAAAACAAACAAACAGATTTTTTTTAAAAAAAACACTTGGTATTTGATTAAATGTCCTTTGACCAGTATCTGGCCACTTGGAGTGCCTCTGGTGTTGCCGCAAGAAGGTCCTCCATTGTGCATGTGGCAGGGCTCAGGTTGCATTGCAGCAGGTGGTCAGTGGTTTGCTCTTCTCCACACTCGCATGTCGTGGATTCCACTTTGTAGCCCCATTTCTTAAGGTTGGCTCTGCATCTCGTGGTGCCAGAGCACAGTCTGTTCAGCGCCTTCCAAGTCACCCAGTTTTCTGTGTGCCCAGGGGGGAGTCTCTCATTTGGTATCAGCCATTGATTGAGGTTCTAGGTTTGAGCCTGCCACTTTTGGACTCTCACTTGCTGAGGTGTTCCAGCGAGTGTCTCTGTAGATCTTAGAAAACTATTTCTTGATTTAAGTCGTTGACATGCTGGCTGATACCCAAACGGGATGAGCTGGAGATGTCTCTGCCTTGGTCCTTTCACTATTGGCTGCTACTTCCCGGCGGATGTCAGGTGGTGCAATGCTGGCTAAACAGTGTGATTTCTCCAGTGGTATAGGGTGCAGACACTCAGTGATAATGCGGCATGTCTCATTAAGAGCCACAGCTCCTGTTTTAGCATGGTGAGATGTGTTCCATACTGGGCATGCGTACTCAGTAGCAGAATAGCAAAGCGCAAGGGCAGATGTCTTCACTGTGTCTGGTTGTGATCCCCAGGTTGTGCCAGTCAGCTTTCGTATGATATTTTTTCTAGTATTTACTGATAACAAATCAGCATTTGCAAGGCTTGCTAAACAGATTGGTTTTCCTTTTTGCGGTGTACAGCTGAAGCATTTTCTGCACAGTCAACACTGCATGTTGTTGCTAACAGATTTGTGTAAATGGGTGCCATTCAGAAACCTTTGACTATAGCCATTTTTTTTTCATAACCCCAACATTGAGCTAAGTTTAAGAAAGAAGGCTTTAAATTATAGGATGCCACCTCCTGGTTTTCAGTGGCCTGCAAGGGCCAGAGAACAATAACAAAGGGCAATGGGCATATTTTCTTTGTGTGGGCAGGCAGTGCTGCCTCTTTCCATCTGTTCCACTGTCTGCTTGGGCTTTAATGGGCACCTGTCCAACTTTGCCCAGGTGCTGTACAGCTTGCAGTCACCTGATTTGCAGAATTGGATCACTGGGCACAATAATCACCTGTATCACAACTGTTTTGATTGCACACACAAAGCAAGTAGTTTCTTATTCCTTTTTGATGGCAACAGATCACATCAAGCTTTAGGACATGGCAAAATGAATTATTGCACACACATCCCTGTGTTCGATGGATATTTCAGGCATGTATCTGTATAATTGCCTTTTAAAAACACGTTCAGCATTTGTATAACACTCAAATCACTTCACGTGAAAGAGAGGGGGATATAAAAATGGCACAAAAGTGTAATTATATTATTTTAAAATTTATCTTATGTGGGGGGCTGTTAGGAGTTTCTTCTCAATTTTGCAGGGACTTGCACAATATTTATGCCCAGTGATGACAGCTATTCCTTCCTTTTCTGGAAACTTTCTAGGGATCATCAATGCCAGTGTCTCAAGGGTTAGCAGTGGTCTCAGGATTGCCATGGGCCCTTCCACACAGTTGTATATAATCCCATTGAACTGGATTATATGGCAGTGTGGACTAAAATAATCCAGTTCAAAGCAGATATTGTGGTTCATCTGTCTTGATATTCTGGGTTTATATGGCTTTGTGGAAGGGCCTGCAATTGGATAGTAATGGTCTAGACCTAGGAAGGCCTCCCACAACTGGTTTGTACTTTGAGATTGGATTTGTAGTACCCACAATATATCAGCTTCAGATCGAAGCATTAGGAAGGATGAATTGGTCGGCTTAGGTGGCTAATACTGTCAGGAAATGTCAGCAAAGGATTTGTTGTTTTGTTTATTATTTATTATTGTTTATTATCCCCGTGTCCCCTTGGGAAGGTGGTAGCGGGGTATAAATAAAGATTATTTATTTATTTACTGTATTTGTATGCCGCCTTTCTCAGCCAATCGGCAATTTCCAACAAAACAGTATACATAATATCATAAAAAGATTAAAATGTTAAAACAGTATAAAACAACAAGCAGTAAAAACAACATTGTTAATGTTATTATTTGAAACATAACAAGATGAGTCCACAGCAGACACTCTGCTGGCTGTTGAATTGGATCACACGTCGGACACTTCCCAAGTGTCTAGGACTGTGTGATGTATCGGTGAATAATGCATGCAGATCCCAGTAAGGTGGCCTTCTGCAACTGGCAGATGGTAATTTTGTCTGTGCCAATTGTGTTTAAGTGCAGGCCAAGGTCTTTAGGCACTGCACCCAGTGTGCCGATCACCACTGGGACCACCATGACTGGTTTGTGCCAGAGTCTTTGTTATTATTTGTTGCTGCTGTTGTTGTTGTTGTTGTTGTTATTATTATTTGAAACACAACAAGATGAGTCCACAGCAGACAAGATCACTCTGCTACCTGTTGTATTGGATCACACGTGGGACACTTCCCAAGTGTCTAGGACTGTGTGATGTATTGGCGAATAATGTGTGCAGATCCCAGTGAGGTGGCCTTCTGCAGCTGGCAGAATTATTATTATTATTATTATTATTATTATTATTATTATTATTATTATTTGAAACACAACAAGATGAATCCACAGCAGACACTCTGCTAGCTGTTGAATTGGATCAAAAATTTCTACCCAATTCAACAGCCAGCAGAGTGTCTATATTATTATTATTATTATTATTATTATTATGTTTATTATGTTTATTATGTTTATTATGTTTATTATGTTTATTCAATCAGGAGTAGGGGCGTATAACCGAGAATCAGTGGCCAGATATTTTGGACAACCTTACTAGATAGAGTAGGAACTGTAGTCTAAAAATAACCTTTCAGGGTTCTTGCATTAAGTGGAGAGTAGCTACTACCTTTGGGAGCAGAATGTCTTAAGCCATTTCTTGGCAACCCTTACTCTTTCCCACTCCAGCTGGAAAGTGTGCTGGCCTTTTAACATACCTATATTTTAGCCTATAGAAAAGCGACCCAGAGGGGAAAGAAAAATACGTTTGATGTTATGAAACTATTATTTTCGAACTTCCCCAAAAGTAGCTAACACCCGTCTCAAGGTGATTGATATTAATTGCATGCTCTGCCCTGCCTTTAGTTTCAGTTCAGGCCAGCCAGTGACAGAAAAAAGCTTTG